AGATCTAAGACATAGCACTACTGTCAGATTATAGGTTTTAAAGAGCAAAACACTGAGAAGAAATACTTTAGGAAGGTGTTAATAATGTCATAATAGTATCTTTATAGTTTATTATAAGCATAATCTTGACCATTCTTCTACCTTTTAGGTGGAAGGGGAGGAGGCAGAAGTCTCCTCTCCACAGAAAATTTCTCATGTGTAGTCCTTGTCCAGCAGATGTGTTTTTTTTTCTTGTTTTTTTATTAAACTCTTCTGAATTGAGACTTAATCACACCTCTTGAAAGTTGTTCTTTTCAGACTGAGTCTATTTGTCAACAGGCTCCTACTGGTTCCTATTTCTGACAACACTAACAGTTAAAAAGTATGCTTACAATAAATGGCAATGGGTTATCCTAAATGAAATGTAGTGTGGCAAGAAAACATGCAAACTGGTTCAGCCATACCATGTTCAGACTCTTCCATTGTGATAACTTTTTTTTTTGATTGCTAGAGGTGTTTAGCAGTGTTTTTGTCTCTGTAACACCAAGGATGCTGTTATATTCCATGCACAGACTTACAAAAGATTGTATACTTCATTTATGTGACTACTTCTATCTTTTTTCCTGCAGCTGTTGGCACTTGACAACTGTAGATAACCAAGACGATGGCTGCCAACAAGAACAAGAACCAGAGTTCTATGGCCCTGCACAAAGTAATCATGGTTGGCAGTGGAGGTGTGGGCAAATCAGCACTTACACTTCAGTTCATGTATGATGAGGTAAGAAGAGTTAGCACAAATTGCTTGTTAAGCTCCATGAATAATTGACAGTCATTCTGCTGGATTTTCCTTGTGCAATGAGTAAAATTCTTCTAAAGATGTTTGGCACATCAAGAAAGTCTGATGCTGTCTATCCAGGGATTAAATGCAGTGTCCGTAAGTTTTAAAGACAAAGTACAAAGAGTGCGTTGAATAGGGAATGAAGGATATTTAAGCATCCATTTCAGTCCACCACACTGTCTCAAGTGGTGTTGGTGCAGTTAAACTGTGAGGTTTTTTGAGACAAGTTAGGATTCAAGTAGAAGTAAGCGTTCTTCTTCTTACCTATTTTTGAAGCAGATGTTGATGAAGAAACAATACAAAGAAGATTGCAGGCTCCCTTTATGCTAGTTCTTTAGTACTAATATACTGAGCTCAGGCCTGCTTTCAGGTTGCAGATGGATGTCTTGTAAATCAGTTTGTTCTGCACCTAATTTTGCAAGGTGTACTCAGAGAAGTCATGTACATCTGTTAAAAGGCAAGATCACAACTCCAGTGAATATGTGAAAAATGCAATCTATAGTTCTGTTTTAAATAGCCTATACCCCTACTCTAGGCATTCTGACAACTCTTTGTGATAAGTCATTACAAGAAAAAACACACACTAAAATACACCCCACTAAAAAACCCAAGAGGTATATCAATGGATGGTCTTGGGAGTCTGTCCTAACGATCAACGGATGTGGACTATTTTGTACCAAGTTAGGGGAGTAAGTTCCAGAATCAAGCTGCTCTCATAGTAAATATTCTGGTGGCAACTCTTTCTCTATGTGTAGTGACCCCGGCTGGAGCACCTCAGACCACAGTTGGTACAAAGATGTGCCTGGAACAGTATGGTTGCCTGGCACTGTGTATCTGAGTCTATGGTTTTGTAGATCGGAACCAATACCGTAAACCCCACCTAGAATTCATTCACCATTTAGTGCAGATTACAGAGCACTGATGTACGTACTCATAACAAGATGCATCACTTAGTAGTTGAGCTGCTGTGTTCTGCACCTGCTTCAGCTTCTGAATTGATTTAAGGTGTATCTCCATGCAGAGGGCACTTCAGCATTCTAACTGTGAGGTGACAAAGACTATAACCGTACCAAGGTCTACATCTGAGAGAGAAGGTCAGAACTTCTTGAGCTATATCAGTTTACACTGGCTGAGCATCTAGCCCTTAGCTCATTCTGGAATAAACTCATAGTTTACCAGTTACCCTGTAGCAATGGCTTCTTCTGTTGGCTACATTCTGTTGGCATGCAGACTCTCTTTCATAGTTAAAAATACTAAAGCCATAAAACTGGCATTAAATAGTTGACAATGATTAAAATAAAAAGACCCTTCAAGAGTGTATATATACAGCTTATAATGGCCATTAAAAGTGGAGAGGAATGCGCTGAAGCAAATATCCAAAGGGAGGAGTGCCATATCTGGAAAAGTCAGGGGTACTGTAGATTTTATTCTTTCCCCCCCCTTCTTATGTTCCTCAGTTTGTAGAAGACTATGAACCTACGAAGGCTGACAGTTATAGAAAGAAAGTAGTTCTGGATGGGGATGAATTCCAGATAGACATTCTGGATACAGCGGGACAGGAGGATTATGCAGCTATTCGAGACAACTACTTCCGTAGTGGGGAGGGGTTTCTCCTTGTCTTCTCAATAACCGAATACGAATCCTTTACAGCAACAGCAGAGTTAAGGTAAGCACAGTAGTTGGATGAGGGAGATTCAATTCCTCATGCTGCTTTTTGATATTTTGCATGTATTTACATAGCTCTGAATAGGTTTGATAACATGAATATGGAATGTTTGTTTGTTTGAAGCTCAGTAATGGGTAAAGGGATGAAAGGTAAACTTAATGTTCTGTTTATTTATGCAAATCAGGAGCAGTGAGTGTAAGACATCAGAAATCTTGTATCTGAGCCAACCCATTTTCCCTATTTAACTTCAGTTTCTATATTAGGACAGTAAGCAACTCTTCACAATTCTTTAATTTTGGTTTGTGTAATTCCCCATTTTCCCCTGCCAAGTAGCTTGAAAATGTTTTTCTTTTGTCTTCTGTACTAGTTCAGATACTTGGGCAAGCTTTTCACAGCCAGCAGATGGCTTAGTGCTCAGTCTCTGTTGGCCACTCTCTTCCCCATTCCCCACATACACACACTACAAAAGAGGTGTAACCATCTCTGATGTCAGTTGTATCCCAAAGGCATGCTGCCCAAAGGAAAGCAAAACAGGCCTAGTAGTCTTTGCACATGTCTGTGCGTGCAGACATTGTAACAGCTTGCATGAAGTGCCAGTGGCCTTGTCAAGAGGTGCCGAGCTGGGTCCCATGCTGGGGTAGGCACGTTCAGATGCAGTGGGGCCTGGCACTTTTTCCACAAACTGTAGTGCTGTAGATTCTGAAGAAGGGGCTTCTCTTGAGGAGTCCATCCAAGGCAAGAGGTCAGCCATAGCAGGACTCCTCATGCCACTTTCAAGCATTTTTTTCCATTCCTCCTTTGAACAACACTCCTTCAGACTCTAACTCTCTCACCTCCATGTACCCACAGTAGCCCTCCTAACTCCTCCCTATCCACTGTCTCTGGTTTTTGGTACCTGGATCTCCCTTTTCGAACAATCGGCTCCTCTTATCCTTCAGTGTTCAAGTCACTGACACCCTATGCATCCCTCTTAGTCTATCTGCCTGTTTTCTTGCCCTCGCTTGCTTGCAAGTCCATTAACAAACTGTGAATTCAAGCAAGTTCCTCTGATCCATGGACCTGCAAAATGTACATACACATTGATACTCTGTACCTCAAAATATATTCACCACGGTGATATGATTGTGATATGTTTTGAACAACGTATGCCATGAGAGGTGGTATATAAAAAGTCTTGATTTATTGAATATTAATTCCTGTTGAATCGTATGTGACGTTATGAAGTATTACTGTATATTTGTTACTGAAATATGTGATAAGTGGGAAACGCCCACAGCCAGCCATTCAGTGGCAACAAAGGAGCAACTAACACTGACAAAACAGATTTACATAAAGATTGGCTAGACAGGTGTTGATGGCCAATTAAGGAGAATCCAGCTCTCCCAGTGGCCCTCTCAGAGACTCCTCAGTGGGCACGTACAGAATGAAGGCAGACTAAGCCCTGTGACACAGCAAGGGTCTTTCTAGCAGCTGGAAGAAAGTATAAAAGAGGACAGTGACCTCACCACTTGTCCTCTCTCCTCCCCATCTCAACACCTGGAAGATCAGTTGGAAGACAAAAACTTTGAACTAGGGAGCTTGGTCCCTGACTGAGAAGAACATTCAGCCTGTGTATTAACTGTAAAGTGCCTGGAACGTTTAGTGGGTTGAGAGAAACTGATTGATTGAAATCTTACTCAGTCTGATACATTTAGGATTTAGATTGCAATTTTATTTTTATTTCTTATGTAACCAACTTTGACCTCTGTGCCTAGTACTTATAATCTCTTAAAATCTCTTTCTGTAGTTAATAAACTTATTTTAATGCTTTATCCTTACCGTGAGTTTGTCTAAAATGCTTGGGGAATCTGCTCAGATTACATAGGCTGGGTGCATGTTCACTATTCTTTGACGAAGTGGCAAACTACCGTATATACTTGTTCATTAGCCCGTTCATTTATAAGCCGACCACCCAAGATGGTTAGGTAAAAATATCAAAAAACTGCATGACCCTTTCATAAGCCGACCCTATATTTCAGGGGTTGGCAAACTTTGGCTCCTGGCCCGTTAGGGTAAGCCGTTAGCGGGCCTGGACGTTTTGTTTACCTGGAGCGTTCACAGGCGTGGAGCCCCTCAGCTCCCAGTGTCCACGGTTGGCCATTCCCAGCCAATGGGAGCCGTGGGAAGTGGCGTGCCACTTCCCGCAGCTCCCACTGGCTGGGAACGGCCAACCGCGGACACTGATAGCTGAGGGGCTCTATACCTGCAGACGCTCCAGGTAAACAAAATGACAATGTATTAGATATTCAATTCAATGATTCCATAGAGTTTAAAATCATCAAATTTTGGTGTAGACCCGTTTATAAGCCAGCCCCCGCAGTTTGATGCGTCACCAAAAATATTCAGCTTATGAATGAGTATATACGGTAATTAATGAGCTTGCATTGTTCAAGAGAATGTCTTGAGCAGTGCAAGACGGTACATTACTATAGTGCAAGAACATAGAACAGCCATCCTGGGTCAGACCAAAGGTCCATCTAGCCCAGTATCCTGTCTTCTGATAGTGGCCAATGCCAGGTGCCCCGGCGGGAATGAACAGAACAGGTAATCATTAAGTGATCCATTCTCTGTTGCCCATTTCCAGCTTCTGGCAAACAGGCTGGGGGGAATTAGCTAGATTCTTCCTGTATATAATTCATGTATGACTTAGAGAGCATTCCAGCTGGGTGTGTGTAGGCCCTCTTTCTACTACATCTGCCTATCCTATTAACAGATACTCTTCGTTGACAGGTTTCAGAGTAGCAGCCGTGTTAGTCTGTATCCGCAAAAAGAACAGGAGTACTTGTGGCACCTTAGAGACTATTTATTATGCTCTAATAAATGTGTTAGTCTCTAAGGTGCCACAAGTACTCCTGTTCTTTCTTCGCTGACAGTGTATATGCCACAGTAATGGCACTGTTAATCTTCATTCTGACACCTCATTTTCCTCTGAAAAGTCTCACTGCCTTGATCTAAAGACCTGTTTATAGGCCATTTTGTTTCAGCTAGTGTCCATCATCCCTGAATCACTCATGGTCCAAGCATCCAGTCAAAGTAACACTCCACCCCTGGAGTGCAGAGTTGAGATGAGGGCACCCATACCATACCATAGATCTGTGAACTTGCTTGTGTTCCCACCCTGGGATGTGCTGTGCAAGCCCAGAAGATCACATCAAAGAGGAGGCCATGATTATTGAACATGTCCATGGACAGTCTAGTTCAGCTGTTATCAACAGTATTAATGACAAAACGGTAGGATTTACCCTTACAGCCTGACAGTTGTGTGCATGAGCCTGAAGACGAGGTCTGGCAGACAAAGATACCAGCTATATTATAGTCTAGGCAATAATTAGTTTCACAGGTGTACTTGAAGACTTGAAGAGCCTTCTCTCTCTGGTGTGATAAGGCAAAGGTAGACCCTGTGGTCCTGGTATCCTGGAATTTTTTCAGGCTGGGCTAACTGTACCAACTAAACCAAAGAATTCAGAGAAAAGGTAAATTCAAAACCTAATAGGAAACTGAGGTTTCTGAAAGCCATGGAAATCTGAGCCCCTGAAGGCAACACAGTCTTCTGCCCTTGTTCCTGCTTGGGACTTTGATCTTGGTGTTTAATTCTCTTGCGCCCCTTCCAGCTGAGCCTAGGAAAAGGATTATGTTGCATTTTTTTATTACAGAATTTGTTTTTCATCACAAAATGATTGGCCAGAAGGCTTGAAGAGCTAAAGGTGCTATTAGAGAGAGAGAGAGAGAGCTTTATATGATTTTCATAAGGATGAAGTTTGTTCTTAAGAACCTTTCCAGAAATCACTCCAAGGATGATATCTGTTTTCCATTGTAGAATGGAAAGTTGCCCTGCCCACTTTCTGTCCAGTCCCCAGAAACTGCAAAGGAGCATAGACCTAGTTGCTTGGATGCCTACATGGCACTAAGAGCTCACCTAAAAAGAGTGGCAAAACTTGGCTTTTAGAGACTGTTCCTTGTATGCTAAGGACCAAGAAAAAGCCAAGCAGATTCCAAAATGGGATAAAGAATTAATTAGAGGCCGAAGAAGCACTAAAGAAACGTAAAGCATGTTTGACCCAGTGGATTAATTGTGGGTTGGGTTCGGGTGGAAAGAAGGAATGGGAATATTTGCGTCTAAGTTGTTGGCTAATGTTCATGAACAAAAGTGGCCCACCAAGTCTTCCTCTCAATGAGCAGATGGACGACTAAGATGAGTGATCTCTATCTGAAGCACAAGCATCTGAACTGGTGTAAATCATCTGAGAGTGACTGCAAATCCCAAAATATTCCTATTTAACATAGATAATTTTGTCTTGTATAGCAACATACTGTATGGCAAAACCTTTTAGTCTGTGCATAAGAAACACGATGTCAGCATTGCTTTAAAGTGTGTGGACCCATCATTTCTTCTGAGCATTGCACAAGTTGTAGTGTCACTTAGATACTCCCAACTGAGAAGGAAAACAAATTATCTGTTTTCTAGTTTGGAACTAGTAATTTAGGCTTCTTGGTCTGAAACCTTGACACAGTGCTCCTAGGTAACTTTTTGCTAGAGAGTTGTTCGGTTCATTTTTTCTTGTTGGTAAAAATGATCCATTAAATGCTTCAGGTGTTAGTATTTTTGCCTCATTTTTAAAATGCCAGTGGTATATTTTGATATTGATCTGAACTTTGTCTTCCATTGGAACATCACCCCCGAGCTTCTCTCACTTTTATGGAACATCTTCAATTTATAGTCTTAACACCAGATATTTTGAAATGACAATATCTCTGATTGCTAAGCCAGGAAAGAGAATAGAATCTTATTTTTGGTTCTCTCAAATAGTTGCTTAAAAATAACTGCCTACAGGTCAAAGTGGTATTTCTGCAGCAAACAAGACAGCTGAAAACCAATACTTATATTGTGTACAATGAAAAAGCCTTGTGGATAACAATATTAACAATCTGTAATGGGAATTGTGTACATATATGCTATAAACAAAGTACCAATAACTTGGAATAAGATACAGGACCCTTTGATTCTTTACAAAAATACTTGAGAACTGCTGAATCTGCTCTCTGAGGTCAGGTCTACGCTACAAACGTACACTGGTGTAACTGCATTGCTCAGGGATAAAAAAAAATCCACACCCCTGAGCGACATAGTTACTCTGACCTAACCCCTGGTGTAGAAAGCACTATGTCAACAGGAGAGCTTATCCTGTTGACATAGCTACTGTCTCTCGCAGAGGTGGATTAACTACCCCAACAGGAGAAGCTCTCCTACTGGTATAATGGGGTCTTCACTAAAGCAGTGCAGCTGCGCTGCTGTACATGGAGACAAGCCCTGAATAAAAACTCAAACATAGCCCCTCACAAACCTTGCCATCCTACTGTGATTTTTTTGTGTGTGCGCAACTGTTGCACCAACATTCCAGTACAAAGAAATAAACCAAAACACTGGCCCTGAATCTAGCTAGTAATAAAACTCTAGTGCATTCTGATGACAGACAAGGAAATTTGACTACTTCATCAACCTATGATAAAAGTGGGGCTCTTGGGGTTATTTATTTATTGTTTAATCTGTCCTTCCCCCTGTGCTTCCTAGGGAAAGAGAAATGGATGCTTTAAACTTGGAATTAATCCATAATCAAGAGAACCTACAACCCCTGTACCCCCCTGCTTTTCAAGTTAGAAGGAAGGTGCCCAGCAATGAGATGGATACCTTGAGGGAACTTACAGGATTCATCTATCCAGACAGCATTGTTGGAATTCCACTACAGGGAAGTCTCCAAGTGGAGTTGCTGTCATTCAGATTTGCTTATAGTCCTTTTCTTTAATGAGCTCTGAGGCAGGAAGGACAATTGGTCCCTTTTTTCTGTTGCACCTCTTTCCAGTTGTTCCTTGTACTTGCTCCACGACCCAACACTTTGGGAACATTATTCAGGCAGTGCATTTCTTGTCTTGGGGAAAGGTAAAATTTTGACAATCTCCTTAGGTGCAACAGAGAGAGACCTCCCCATCTGACTGAAGACTGCACTTTTGGAGGAGGTGCATCCAGGCTTCCTCTCAGCCAGAGAAAGGGCTGTTTTATTGTGGAGGCTTGGGGATAGGATTAAGGGTAAAAACAGGGCTGGAGATGGCAGACAAGACGTTCTATCAGATGTTATCTGGAGACCCATTGACTTCAATAGGAGTCGGATCGGGCAAATTATGAACTTAGCTAATGGTAGTGTTTAATTGGGCTGGTAACTGAAAGATTCTGATAACTCCCTCCATTTGAAAATACGGGGGTTTTCCCCTTTCACCATTGGAAAGAAGGATTACCTACCCATCTCATTGGCCAAAACACAGAACAAATTTAAATCTTATGCCAACAGCCACTTGACTTCTTTAATCTTTTGAGTTTTTGCAAATTGTATAGAAAAGCCCTGACATGACAAAATTCATGTAAATGATTATTAAATTTTCTGTAATCAGATTCTTTATCACAGCTATTTCAAGTCAGGCTAGAAATCCTGCTGATATTCAGATTTTGATCGTTAATATGTATATTTGCTGTTTTGTCATTTTACCTGCCTGTGTGACTCTCAAAAGCCAACTGTTAGTATCTTGTGATTCTAATAGCTGGTTGTGTTCAAGTGCGTCATTTTTCAGTTTTGTATAACATTGTGCACTTGAAGTGACCCTAATTGAAGCATCTGTTAAATACAATCCGCTATTAATGGGAAATAAACTGCAAGAAGCTACTTGTACTAGCTTCTCTGCCTAATCTTGATAGATTGGATATTGTATTAATTTGATTGCATGAAAAAACACGTTTGTGTGTGTTTATTATATATTGTTTCATCACATAAGGAAATGGTATGAAAAATGAGCTAAAAAGAACTATACACTTCATTTCTTAGAAGAATAAAGAGACTGCAAGTTGACGCCAGCATATGCTTCTAACACAAGATTTCCTAGTTTTGGCAGGAATTCGTAACTAACTAGTTTCCTGGATGTTTACACAATATCTTTGAAAATTATGCTGCTTGCTATTGTCTTAAGCTCTTCTTTTTATTAATTAAAAAGGTTAGATTTTTCTTAAAGTAAATCAGCTTGAAGTGGTAACAAAAGTTGCCTTCAGATATCGAACTGTAACCTTCCATACATATTTCATTGGGCCTTAAAGTGCTCTAGTCAGACTTTTAGTAGAAGCAAACATACCTCCTTGTGAAGGAAGGGATAGCTGTGTGGTTAGGTCACAGGTCTTGGAGCCAGGGAGCAGGGTTTTGCTTTGTCACAATGTGACCTTCCACAAATCCTCGAACTCTCCCCCCCCCCTCTGTTTTCCCTTCTGTAAAATGGGGATACTACCCAATTCAGAGGGAGACTTACCTATTTATAAAGCCTTCTGAGATCCTCCAGTGGAAGGTGCTATAGAAATGTAAAATGGTATTTTTTTATAAAGTTTAATTTATTCTTCTATTTGTGTAGGATGGAAAAATAAAAATATACATTAGATGTCTGACAGATCTTACTAATCCTCTCACAATTTTTCTGTTTAGCACTTGTCTATACAAAGACAGTGCATGGCAAGCCGGGGTGTAAATCTAGAGCGCTCTAGTCTGCTGCGCACTGAGTTGCTGTGTGGACGAGCCCTTAGATTTATCAACCAAATGAGTATAAATATATTGTACAAGATTTTTTTGTTTCAAAAGACATTTGTACTCCACTATAGAAGCTCTCCTTTATTGGAGTCAGAGGAAGTGACAGATATGGTGTTCAGCTACACACAGCAAAATGTAACCTTTTCCAAGTGCTGCTTCCTATGCGTATCCCGCATGCAACTGAGCCTGGAAAGCCTTGCAACTAGTGTCCATTGGTCCACTCCTGTGCTCTGGATCTCCTTGTGCTCACTACCGAGCATATATAAGGAGGTGCGGGCTGACTGCCTCTCCAATTGCTTCTTGCCGCTGCATGTGCTGAGTCGGAATCCTCTGTGTCCGGAGTTATCCCTGCATTGTCTTCATCTCTGTAAATATAATTGTATATAGTTTTAGTTTTTCATAGTGTTTTTATAGCATCTGCAGAGTTAATTAGTTCCTCCTCCCCAGGGATCATCTCTGTCCCCACTTTCAGGAAAAGGACTTTTCCTAGAATCTCAGGATTTAAACACTGCATCTCCTGTCCTCACTCCTTCTCAGTCAGCAATGACACCAGTGCTGCCTTTACTGCATTGGGGAGGCGCATATCCCTGCCAAGTGCAGGATTTGTCACTCCTCCTCACCCCAGACCCAAGAGGGATGAGGGTTCTGACTGAGAGAATACCTCATGGAGAAAGCTGGGAGATCCTCCTGTATACTGGCAGCAAACCTCTAGCAGCGTGTCTGTGAGCACAAGCTCTGCAGCAGAGGCCAGAGGAGACAAAGACCCATTACCTCTGGCTTCTCTTGAGAGTAAGGAACACTCTTAGACATACAAACTGATCCCCCTTTAAGTCTGCTTCCAAGAGAAGGTTTCCCTCTCTGATGCCATCCAAGTTGGGTGAGT